AAATTACTTCTTGCTAGAACAGGGATAAAAAGAGCATTAACTCTGTTATGTGCTATGAGAGCACTATTTAAGGGTGTGCTCCCCAACTGGGGGCTATGTTGCCCCCATCTGGAGGGGATTTGTGTGGGGCTTACTTAGTTGTCACAATAACTGGAGTCTGTGACTGGCATGTAGTGCCTGGGGGCCAGGAATGGTAACTTCCCACAATGCACAGGACTGTCCCACACTACAGAGAAGCGTCCAATTCAGAATGCCAATTATGCCCTGTGTTGAAAGACTGATGCAGTGGAGTGTAGCCTGTATTCATCAGGATTTTCAGGTTCAAACAACAAGATCAACTTTAGCTAGTTTAAGTGAAAAGGAACTTTACAGTAAATGATATTCAGTAGCTCTCAGAATCTCCAGACGGTCCAGAGAATCAGGCTCGGTGGCCAAGCAGCAGGAAAAACGCCCTGTGACACTGCCAACTGCTCCAGGGGAACTCTGTCGCCACTACCTACGCTCTGCAGCACGTACTACCCACGCAGCATATGGGACCCCAGAGAGCACGTTGCCACTACCATCTCTGACAGCTGCATATCTCTCCACCATCCTCGAGGAATGGATTGATTCCACGTAGGGTCTCCCTCTTGCCTGGGGGGGCCCAGGTCAAATGTCTGAACCCCAGTGACAAAGAAGGCTGATCTGTGGGTTCCCAGCCTCTAACTCAGGGCCTCTACCCTGGAGAAGCAGGGCTCACAAGGCAGGAAGTTCCCCAAACACAGGAAGGGTCTTCAAGAGGTGCTGTAGTCACTTAGTGTAGAGGTGCTGTAGTCACTTAGTGACTACTAAGTGTGACAGATGTCCACAAAATCATCAAAAGCCCTCATTACATTCCCCTTCATAAGACACTTCCCAAGCATGGACCTGATAAAAATAGTTCCAAATTTGTCTTCCAGAATCTTAAAAAGATATACTTAGTGTCTCCCCACTGTTGCATATTCATTCTATTTTCTCTACTTCAATTACCATATCAGATATGTTTTGGATTGGTGCACACATATCATTTCTATTTCTTTTTCAGCACTGTGATTGCCGTCTAGCTATAAGACTTATTTCTCCATCCTCCTGCCTCCTACAATTTTATGTGTCCCACCTGAGCATTTGCAACAAAATTTTTTTTTTAGTTATGGATAAGATAACATATATGTGGTTACAAAAGTAATAAGTAAAGAAAGTACAGTGCACTTTGGTTCAAAGACACACTTGTGGAGACATTGTGCCCAGGTGGCTTTCGGCAGGAACTGTGGGGAGTAATCTGAAGAGTTGTATCAATTTGCTACACGGTTCCTTAAGAGGCAGAGCTCCATGTACCACAGAGCTGCTTAAGTTGACAGACTGCGAGCAGATGGGTCAAAGAATATAACACACAAATATACAGGGCACTGTCATAGGATTGTGGCTTTTCAGAAATAATTGGAACCAGTAAAGGGGAAGCAACACAAGTTTAACAGAAACAATGAATGGTATCTCAGTTTTATTGTTCCTATCTTTGACGCTACAATAGAACTTCATGGCCTTCCCATAAGTGATTAATGATGGAATACATAGAGGAATAAGTTTGCAATTTGCATTTTAAAATCATCCCAAATTGCCTGAATTTATCAGTTATATTTAATGGATGCACATAAGTAGTTTTGAGGAGATTAAACTAGAGATGATAATAGCACCCTCCTTCAGCTCTCAAATTACCTTAAGAACAAGCCTTGTTATCCCCAAAACAGTGATCTAGGAAAGAAGTGCTGTAGCTAGTATCAGAAATTTAAATTCACGGACTCACAGCGAATTGCTCTAATATTCATTTTTACTGTGAATGAAATAATCCAGGGATTTGTCTTGTTAGCATGTGTGCTACTACCAAATTCATGCAGGGACTTGGAACCCTTTTTTTTTTTAAGCACACTGTCTTTATTTTTTATATGAATTCTCTCTGCCTGGAAAAATTGGAATTCAGGAATGCATCTAGAATTTGTTCAAAGATAAAATTATTACAGGTGAGATTTGAAAGTGATAAAGCAATGGATGAGGATAGATTATCCATTCTTCAGTTTATGTTTGGTGATACTATAGATTTGTTGTCTTTGATTATATAATGAAATAAATTCTTTTTTTTTAATTGCGGTAACATTGGTTTATAACATTATATAAATTTCAGGTGTACATCATTATACTTCTATTTCTGCATAGATTACATCATGTTCACCATCCAAAGACTAATTACAAACCATCATCACACACATGTGCCTAATTATCCCTTTCATCCTCCTCCCTCCCCCCTACCCCTCTGGTAACCACCAATCCAATTTCTGTCTCTATGTGATTGTTTGTTGTTGTCTTTATCTTCTATTTGTGAGTGAGATCATACGGTATTTGACCTTCTCCTTCTGACTTATTTCACTTAGCATAATACTCTCAATGTCCATCCATGTTGTTACAAATGGCTAGATTTCATCGTTTCTTATGCCTGAGTAGTATTCCATTGTGTATATTTTTAATTTGTTACATATGGGGTAGCTGGTTTATGCATCTGTGATCCAGTGCAGAGGTGCAAACATATCTTATTGGTCATATGTGTGAAATGACGTCCGGAATATGAAGTCAAACCTGCTTTAATTACCTCCTTATGGGAACATCCAGCTGCTGGGATGACTGGGGGAAGGCACATTTGGGATTTTAGAGTGAATACTTTGAATCTTAAGTATGCTCTAGATATAAATCTAGTTTATCTCAAAGGTCTGTCGTTAGTCTAGACTGAGAAGTAGATTAATACAATAATAATCTAAGATTCTATAAATGGGACCAAGTTCAAAGCTGACAGAAGCTTGTCCTGCTCTTGACAATATTACCTTTTTGACATCCCTTAAAATATTTATATAGGAGCTACTATTTTTCCAATGACTGAAAATGTTGGAATCTGGCTAAAAATGTGAATATGTGCCACTGGGGTTTCCCTACTGAAGTTGACAACCAACAAAAATGAAACAGCATGTAAAGTCTTCTCGAATTCTAAGCCTCTTGCTGACAACAGATGCACCAGAGTGGCCCAGTCAAGAAGGCCTCACACATGGGTAGCCAGCTGAGAGGGTGGCATCAGTACGAGTATCATTGTGGTATAGTCACAAAGAGTCTAGCATCCTTGGAACTTACCTGGCCAAATCACCTGGCCAAATTGTTTCAAATATAGATTGGCAACTGAGGCCCAGAAAAGTGAATTGGTTTGCTCAAGATCACTTGTCAGTGGTGGACCCAGGTCTGGAAGCCACAGTCCACCTCCTGGACCAAACCAACGCTCTTTCACCAACCATGCAGCCTCCCTGTCAAAATCGAGGCTACATAACATAAGGTACCAATTTAGGACAACATATTCTGGCTATGTGACCCAATGAGCAATTGTTCTGTGACTCGGACTAATGCGGAAAAAGTCATTTTGAATATTTCAGATCCCAAACTTAGATTTTTGCAAATTAATGTCTTATTAGATTTTTAAAATGAAACCATGAAGAAAATTTATTGTATAGTTTCCATAAATAAACCTGCTTAAATGAAGATTTCGTTGATAAGGATTAGAATCTTTAATCTCTAAATTCAACATCTGGGTTTTATTTATTTCCAGTTCCATCATATCAGCTGACTACTCTCATATATGTTCATAGAACTTCAGGACTGCAAGGGAACAGCTTAGTCAAAAGAAAGTGACTTTCCCTTTGTTACATGTCCTTATCTTGTGAAATGTATTGTACTTGGTGAAGAGGAGAAGTGCTGCATTGTTGAAAGAGTGTGGCTTTGAAGTAGAACAGACCCAAGTTTAAATTTAGCCTCACCTTTTTTTAGCTTTATAAATTGCCCTTTCACTTTATAGCCCTTTGGCCATTTAGAGCCCATTTTCTAATCTGTAAAACAGTACTAGTAACTTCCTAACAGGGTCACTGAAGGGAAGAAATGTAATGATGTGCCTAACACCTGGCAGACGGCCAGATATTTAACAAATGGAAGCTATGATCAACTAAAGTAACAGTAAGACACGTGACCCCAGATTGCAAAAAGGATACTATCTTAGCCTTTCAAAGAGCTATCCTCAAGGAATAGCTCCTGGAGGATAAAGATATTTATAGATATATGCTGAGGGCCAGCCCCGTGGCTTGGCGGTTAAGTGCACGCGTTCCGCTGCTGGCGACCCAGGTTCAGATCCCGGGCGCGCACCGACGCACCGCTTCTCCGGCCATGCTGAGGCCGCGTCCCATGTGCAGCAACTAGAAGGATGTGCAGCTATGACATGCAACTATCTACTGGGGCTTTGGGGGGAAAATAAATAAATAAATAAAATCTTTAAAAAAAAAAAAAAGATATATGCTGAGAAGTGCTATTTCTCCTGAAATACTGTTAACTTTGATTACAGGAGAGTGAAAATAGCACTGGAACCTTGACACGGAGCCTGGGGTGTAGTTCAGGTCCAGCTCCCCAACAGCAGTGTGGATAATATGGCACTTAACCTCCTTGAGTCTGTGTCCTCATATGAAAATCAAAGCAAGCCCCCAAACATCCTTGCCTCCTACCTTAGGGGTTTACAGAGGGAAGCCGTGTGCAAACAGCAGAGCCCTCACCACCAAAAGGGGTTCCGTGTAAGCAGTGGCCAGGTCTTTGCATCTGGACAGACCTGCTCCTTTCATTTCTGCTACGGACACCACTTCAGGGACACCTTATTAGCCGTTCATGAGACGCTATTTAGATCTTCTTTGCATTTAGTGTTCTGTTGTTAATTCTCCGTGAAGCTGACCAATTTAAAGTGATTTAACAGCCTAAAGTTAAAGGTGCTCTGACAAGTGCGTTAAGTTAGCTCGAAGGATAAGAACAGAAAGGTTGAGGAAACACTGACACTCCCAGAGCTCCTGTTAGTGACGCCATTACACCAACACAGACCCACCAACTTCCGAGAGCGAGGAAAAAATGAGCCAAGGCAACAAGGAAAACAATACGTTTATTAAGAGGCATGAAAATGCATAAACTCACTTATAAATAAATGTCGTATAATTTACCCAGTGAAAAAATAGCTACAATCCATGAATAAGCTGGATTTTATATTTGAAATGATTACATATTTGATCTCCAATAACTTCCCCTCCATCGTGATCTCTTGGCAGCAGCAATTTTACAATGACTATAGAAAAAGCTGTACCAATGATTATCATATGGGGGGAAGTTTTTCAAGAATTTTCTTTAAAAATGAACCAGTGCAAACAAATTCAGATTATAAGGGATACGGTAAGACCTGGGGCTTATCTTCAGAAAAGTAGAAAGTAAAAATTCTAAACATTTATTCATTAAGAAATGAAAAAGCAAACTACATTTTGATCATTAGAAAATAATACATATGGATATTATAAAACATTCTTAACCAGTGATTGCAATAATTACATCTATAAATGTTCATTCAAGTACTAGTGTTCCATAAACATTCAAATTCCCATTAAAAGTAAACCTAGATATAGACACGTGTGGACAATGCTTCTTTTGATTTAATAATAAGAAAAAAAATCATGTCAACAAGAGGCAAGTGACCTTTAAAATACTGTATTTCTTTTGTCTGTAAATGATTTTTCACAGTCTGTATATTTTATCTGCAGGACCCAAGGAACATCTCACAACAGCTAATTAAGAAGTCCTTTCTGTAAAATAACTCTCGACGTTACAGAAACAAACATTCCAAAACACAAGTTTAGCTTAAAAAACAACAGGGCAGAATCAGTCTTCTTTGGCAAGAAATTGTTAATTCCTTACCAGATGTTGGTTTGCTGCTGTGCAGACACTATCACTTCTTTGGTTTTTACCAAAGAGCTATTTAACAAGCTGAAAAGATTTCATAAACGATGGTACCATGACAGCAATGTAGAGCTCATGTCAAAGTTGCACTGACATCAACATCATTTCCTTGATTACTGCTGTTAATGGATCTTCCTTCAAAAAGCTCCCTCCTAATTTTGGCCTGAGTCTCAGGCTTTAGTAAAAGTTCCTTTATCTGTTTCACTTTGGACTTCAAACCCATCCTTTCTCGACACAAAGCTTCATTAATTAAGTCCCGGATTCCAATAGGTTTCTTGCCTACGGAAAAAAAAATTATATAATACATTTTACATACCAATGCCAAGGAAAAACGTTAAATATGGCACACTGACTTATCAAAAGAGAGTCAAAAGAGGGTTAAAAAGAAACCTTTAAAACGTTACCGACATTTTATAGAAAAGGTTGCATTTCGCCAAAAATATATCATTTACATGAAACAAATTTACTGTAAAGAAAGATCACTGCATATCGACGGCATACGTAGGACAAACACGAAATGTTATGGACAATAATTTCAACAGTGATTATTTTAAATTTAGCACTTGTTAGCTGTGTGTGTTTTGGCCTCACATACAGTAGCCAAATGCCCTGCTAAGCAATATAAATGGCAGTATTCCATTTATGGCCCCTTCCACGGCCTTTGAGTCCACGAGGTATAACCCCAAGTCCCCTCTCCCTTGGCCATGGCTGACGGCAAGTGAAACTTGGGCCACTCTTCTTTCATAAATCAATTTCCTCTGCTAGTCTCAGCTCTCCATTTCTCTTCTGTTGTGTTTCAGATATGCAAACACATCGATCATGAAAGTATCAGGCAATCTCCACAGACTGGACAAGAGACACTTAAACAGCACAATGCAGATTAGTCCATTGACTCAGGAGATGGGGGCAGGGATGCTTCTCCTGGAGCAGCGGGGCCCTGCCTGCATTCGGGTCTCACTTCCTGTTGTTGTCACTGTCAGTGCCATTCCTATCAGCCTCTTCAGCTTTCACAGAGTTCCCATCCCCTGGCTTGTTTTTGTTCTGTGTTTCTTCCAGATACTGCTGGACAGCCTTGAGCACCGCGTTCTCCACCAGCCTCTTACTGAGCCTTACCAGTTCAGCATCGTCAGGCTCACCTCCATTCTTATCACCTACATTCCACAATAGAGAAGAGAGGTCACTGAGATCACATTGCCATAGAAACTCAGCATGCAGGGGCCGGCTAGTTCAGTTAGTTAAAAAGAGCAAGTGTCCTTCCATCTGGTAAATTGGAGCTATAAATCCAAAAATACCGGCTTGGCTTTTCATTTGGTATTTGCAGAAGCTCCTGCCTATTCCTAAAGACTTCAGGCTGAAAAGTCCAAATTAGCCCCAATCTAAAAATACTTTACCTAGCAATGCTGGAAGTTTCCCACTTCTACATGGAATTTTTGTTCTTCTCTCATCCACGGCTAATTGCCACTATTAAAGTTCACGTGCCCACTGCCTGGAGCCTCAGACATGTGAATTCACCAACTAGATCTGTGTCTGCATCTCCTTCTCCACCACCAAATGTCAGGTAATCAAGATTTCCCTACCAGCTAACTACTTAGGACCACTAATTTTAAAATGTTTGGCCCATAGGCTGGTTGTTAATAAATTTTCAGCACTCCCATGAAGACAAAGGTAGTTACTACTGCTAGGAACTGGTTTAAAACAAGCTTGTAAAACTAATATTCTTTTTAATCTCAGTGCTATCACTGCAATTTAAGAAGTAGGAAATTCTTCAAGGAAGAGTTAGGATTATGATAGTAAGTTACTAGATGTTGACATTTTATGTCATTTTGCTTCCCTGCCAGTGATGATCAAGGTTTAATTAGTCTATATTTCATCTTACTGTAAAAGGGCTGGTTCTCATCTATTCTCATGCTACATATTTCATAAAATATGAAATATTTTCACTCTCTTCCTTGTCTCTCTTAACTGAGGAAAAGAACAAGGGGGCTCATCTCTCATGTCCATTCAGTTCCTCAACTCCTTCCATCAAGCTATGGACCCAGAAAGGCAGATGATCAAAGGCAAAGACATCTGAGTACCTAAATATATTAAGTAAATACTAACAAATCTCAAGGGAGTGATTGACAGCAATACAATAATAGTAGGGGACTTTAATACTCCGCTTTCAACAACAGACAGATCATCCAAACAGAAAATCAATAAGGAAACATTAGACTTGAACTCTACTTTAGACCAAATAGACCTAACAGACACATACAGAACATTCCATCTAACAACACCAGAATACACATTCTTCTCAAGTGCACATGCAACATTCTCCAGGATAGATCATATGTTAAGTCACAAAATAAGTCTCAGCAAATTTTTAAAGATTGAAATCGTACCAAGTATCTTTTCTGACCACAACGGTATGAAACTAGATATCAATAACAAGAGGAAAACTGGAAAATTCACAAAAATGTGGAAACTAAACAACACACTCCTGAACAACTAATGAGTCAAAAATTAAATCAAAAGGGAAATCAAAAAATATCTTGAAACAAATGAAAATGAAAACACAACATATCAAAACTTAAGGGATGCAGCAAAAGCAGTGCTAAGAGGGAAGATATCAGAAATAATGCCTACATTAAGAAAAAAAAAATCTACAGTCAACAACCTAAATTTACATCTCAAGGAACTAGAAAAACAAGAACAAACTAAGCCCAAAGTTAGCAGAAGGAAAGAGATAAAGATCAGAGCAGAAATAAATGAAATAGAGGACAGAAAAACAATAGAAAAGATCAATAAAAGTGAGAGTTGGTTTTTTGAAAAGATAAACAAAATTGACAAACCTTTAGCTAGACTGACCAGGAAAAAAAGAGAGGACTCAAATAAATAAAATTATAAATGAAAGAAGAGACATTACAATTGATACCACAGAAATACAAAAAATCATAAGAGACTACTATAAACAATTATATGCCAACAATTTAGATAACCTAGAAGAAATGGATAAATTCCTAGAAATATTTAATCTTCCAAGTCTGAATCATGAAAAAATAGAAAATCTGAACAGACCAATAACAAGTAAGATTGAATCAGTAATCAAAAACCACCCAACAAAGAAAAGCCCAGGAGAAGATGGCTTCACAGGTGAATTTTACCAAACATTTAAAGAAGAATTAATGCGAGTTCTTCTCAAATTCTGCCAAAAAACTGAAGAGGAGAAAACACTCCCAAACTCATTTTTTGAAGTCAGCATTACCCTGATACCAAAGCCAGATAAGGATACTACAAGAAAAGAAAACTCCAGGCCAATACTCTCATGAATTTAGACGCAAAAATTCTCAACAAAATACTAGCAAACGAAATTCAAAAGCACATTAAAAGGATCATACACCACAAACAAGTGAGATCTATCCCTGAGATGCAAGGATGGTTCAACATATACAAATCAATCAATGTGATACATCACATTAACAAAATGAAGGATAAAAATCATGATCATATCAGTAGATGCAGAAAAAGCATTTGACAAAATTCAACACCATTTCATGACGAAAACTCTCAACAAACTGGGTATAAAAGGAAGATATCTCAACATAATAAAGGCCATATATGACAAACCCGCAGCTAGCATACTCAATAGGGAAAGGTTGAAAGCTTTCCCTCTAATATCAGGAACAAGACAAGGGCACCCACTCTCACCACTCCTATTCCACATAGTAATGGAAGTCTTAGCAAGAGCAATTAGGCAAGAAAAAAGAAATAAAAGGCATCCAAATCAGAAAGGAAGAAGTAAATTGTCTCTGCTTGCTGATGACATGATCTTGTGTATAGAAAATCCTAAAGACTCTACCAAAAAACTGTTAGACCTAATAAACGTAATTCAGTGAAGTTTCAAGATACAAAATCAACATACAAAAATCAGTTGCCTTTCTATAATCTAACAATGAACTATCTGAAAAAGAAATAAAGATAATCTCGTTTACAATAGCATCAAAAACAATAAAATATTTAAGAATAAATTTAACCAAGAAAATAAAAGATCTATACACCAAAAACTGTAAGAAATTGATGAAAGAAATTGAAGAAGACACAAATAAATGAAAAGATATCCCATGTTCATGGATTGGAAGAGTTAATATTATTAAAATGTCCATACTACCCAAAGTCATCTATAGATTCAACGCAACCCCCATCAAAATTGCAATGGCATTTTTCACAGAAATAAAAAAAAAATCCTAAAGTTCAAATGAAACCACAAAAGACCCTGAATAGCCAAAGCAATCTTGAGAAAGAACAAAGCTGGAAGCATCACACCTCTTGATTTCAAACTATATTACAAAGCCATAGTAATCAAAACAGTATGGTATGCATAAAAACAGACACATAGACCAATAGAGCAGAATCAAGAGCCCAGAAATAAACTCATGTATATATGGTCAACTAATATTGACAATGAAGCCAAGAACACACAATGGGTAAAGGATAGTCTCTTCAATAAATGTTGCTGGGGAAACTGGATATCCACATGCAAAAGAACGAAATTGGACCACTATCTTACACTACTCACAAAAATTAACTCAAAATGGATTAAGGACTTAAATGTAAGACCTGAAACCATAAAACTCCTAGAAGAAAAACATAGGAAAAAAGCTCTTTGATATTGGTCTTTGCAATGATTTTTTGGATGTGACACCAAAAGAATAAGCAACAAAAGCAAAAATCAATGAGTAGGATTACATCAACCAAAAAAGCTTCTGCACAGCAAAAGAAACAATCAACAAAATGAACAGGCAATCTACAGAATGGGAGAAAATATTTGCAAATCATATATCTGATGAGTGGTTAATATTCAAAATATATAAGGAACTCATACAACTCAATAGCAAAAACACAAACAATCCAATTAAAAAATGGGCAGAGGACTTAAAAAGACATCTTTCCAAAGAAGACATACAAATGGCCAACAAGTACATGAAAAAGTGCTCAATATCACTAATCATCAGGGAAATGTAAATCAAAACCACAATGACATATCATCTCCCACCTATTAGGATGGCTATTATCAAAAAAACATGACAGGGGCCAGCCCAGTGGTGTACTGGTTAAGTTCGTGTCCTCCGCTTTGGCGGCCCAGGGTTCACAGGTTCAGATCTCAGGCACAGACCTACTCACTGCTTATCAAGCAATGCTGTGGCGGCATCCCATATAAAGAAGAGGAAGATGGACACGGATCTTAGGCCAGGGCCAATCTTCTTCAGCAAAAAAGAGAAAGATTAGCAACCGATGTTAGCTCAGGGCTAATCTTCCTCAAAAAAAAAAAAAACACAAGAAAACAAAAAACAAGAAATAACAAGTGCTAACGAGAATGTGAAGAAAAGTGAACCTTTGACACTGTTGGTAAAAATGTAAATTGGTGTAGCTACTACAGAAAACAATATGGAGGTTCTTCAAAAAATTAAAAATAGAATTACCATATGATCCAGCAATCCCACTTCTGGATATTTATCTGAAGAAGATTAAATCACTATCTCAAAGAGACATCTGTGCTCCCATGTTCATTGCAACATATTTCACAATAGCCAAGACATGGAAACAACCTAAGCATCCACTGATGGTTGAATACACATAATGGAATATTATTCAGCCATAAAAAAGAAGGAAATCCTGCCACTTGCAACATGGATGAACCTTGAGGGCATTATGCTAAGTGACATAAGTTAGACAGAGAAAGACAAATACTGTATGATATCACTTATATATGGAATCTAAAAACATTGAACTCAGAAACAGAGCATAGAATAGTGGTTGCCAGGGAGTGAGAAGGGGCGTGGAACTGAGGAGATGTTGGTCAAAGGGTACAAAGTTTCAGTTATAAGATGAATAAGTTCTGGGGATCTAATGTACAGCATGGTGACTACGGTTAACCATACTGTATTGTATACTCGAAAGTTGTTATGAGAGTAGAGCTTTAATGTTCTCAGCGTAACAACAACAACAAAATTACAATTTTGTGGGGCCGTTCCCATGGCCTAGTGGTTAAGTTCAGCGCGCTCCACTTTGGCAGCCCAAGTTTGGTTCCTGGGCGCGACCTACACCACTCATTAGTGGCCATGCTGTTGTGGCGACCCACATACAAAATAGAGGAGGATTGGCACAGATGTTG